TGCTAGCCAAAATTACTGCTTGATTACTGAGGGAAGCAGATTACTAATTGTCAGATTAATGATGGCTGACCTGTACTGAAACTAATGCTTGTTTATCAGTCTCCAAATCCTCACACTCTGAGAGACTACAACCATTGATTGCTTCCAGTTCTTTGGCCGTCAAATAGGAAAGCATGGGTGACTAAAGCTGTTTTCCAAGACTTGTTTTCAAGTTGTTTTTGCCCAGCTGTTGAAAACTATTGCAATGACAGCAATATCACATTTAAAGCATTACTGGTATTGGATAACACCCCAGGACATCCAACCACATATGGATCTTTTTTTTTTTGACACAAAACACATCATTATTGCAGCCCCTTTTTCAAGGAACCTGAAGTTTACCTGGAGAGAGTTCCAGGGGTCAATGCACTCACAACCTGGTCTCTGACCAGGCCTCATGGTGGATCAGGGCCTGATCAACTAGGCTGTCACTGCTGGCTGCTTGCAATCCAATGTACGAACCACAGCCCGGCTGGTCAGGTACCGACTTTATATGCTTTTCCAGTGCCTGCTTGAAGACAGCCAGGGGTCTATTCGTAATCCCTCTTATGTATACTGGGGGGGCAGTTGAACAGTCTTGGGCCCCTGACACTTATTGTGTTGACTCTTAACATGCTAGTGGCACCCCTGCTTTTAATTGGGGGCATGTTGCATCATCTGCCGAGTCTTTTGCTTTCGTAGGGAGTGATTTTTGTGTGCAAGTTTGGTACTAGTCCCTCTAGGATTTTCCAGGTGTACATAATCATGCATCTCTCCTGCCTGCCTGCCAAGGAGTACAGGTTCAGGAACTTCAAGTGTTCCTGGTAACTGAAAGGTGCCATTAGTGTGCAGCAATATTCCAGCCTAAATAGAACAAGTGACCTGAAGAGTGTCATCATGGGCTTGGCATCCCTAGTTTTGAAGGTTCTCATTATCCATCCTGTCACTTTTCTAGTAGATGCAATTGATACAATGTTATGGTCCTTGAAGGTGAGATCCTCCGACATGATCACTCACATATCTTTGACATTAGTTTTTTGTTCTATTGTGTGGTTGGAATTTGTTTTACACTCTGATGAAGTTTTAATTCCCTCACATTTACCATATCGGAATAATTGAATTTTCTCATTGTTGAACTTCATATTGTATTCTGCAGCCCATTGAAAGATTTTGTCGATGTCCACCTGGAGCCTTGAAGTGTGTGCAATGGAAGACACTGTCATGCAGATTCAGGTGTTATCTACAAAGGAAGACACGGCACTGTGGCTTATATCCCTGTCTATGTCTGATATGAGGATGAGGAACAAAATGGGAGCGAGTGCTGTGCTTTGCTGAACAGAGCTTATCACCGTAGCCACCTCAGATTTTACTCTGTTGTATACTACTCTTTGTTTTCTATTTGTCAGGAAAATATAGATCCATCTACCAACTTTTCCTGCTATTCCTTTAGCACGCATTTTGTGCGCTGTTACACCAAAGTCACACTTGTTGAAGGCTTTTGCAAAGTCTGTGTATATTACATCTGCATTCTTTTTGTCTTCTAGGGCATCCAGGACTTTCTCGTGGTGATCCAGAAGTTGGGTGAGACAGGAGCAACCTGCTGAAAACTCTGGGTTGTGTAATTGATGGGTATCTAGATGGGTAGCAATCTTGCTTCTTAGGACCCTTTCAAAGAATTTTTATGATATGGGATGTTAGCGCTATGGATCTGTAGTTCTTTGCTATTGCTTTACTGCCCCCTTTGTGGAATGGGGCTATGTCTGTTGTTTTTAGTAACTGTGGGATGACCCCAGTGTCCATGCTCCCTCTCCATAGGATGTTAACCCTTTCAGGGTTTTGGACGTACTAGTACGGCTTATGCACCATTGTCCATGACGTACTAGTACGCATAAATTCTAGCGCCTTCAAATCTAGTGAAAGCTGGTAGGCCTACATATGAAAGAATGGGTCTATGTGGCCAGTGTGCACAGTATAAAAAAATCCTGCAGCACACAGTGCGTAATGAGAAAAAAAAAACTTTGACCGTGTTTTTGGATTAAAACAGCGACTTTGCACTATATTTTTGTATGGTATTTATTGTTGTATTCTACTTTTCCTGGTCTCATTGTATAGAATGGAAGACATATTACAGAAATTGAGGTGATTTTGACTGGTTTTACAATGAAAAGTACCTTGAAATTGAGCTCAAAGTACCAGAAATGTTCGATATTTACCGAAGTTCAAAAGTAAACATATCATGCTAAGCGTCCAATGCACGTCAACTGGTGAGTCTAATATTCTTTCACAAGTGCTCCGATATTATTTATACCATTTCTACACTAATGCAGTAGTCTGCATAACAGTAAATTATATTTTTTTTGTTAGAATAAAAATTTAAAGTGGAAAGCAAAAGAATGCAAGAGGGGCATGGGGACATGACTAATGAACAGAGAAAATATTATTTTAGTGCCAGGAATGTCTTTCTTGTTTATTCTGGACCCTATTTGGAAATTGGTATCTTTTGAAATTTGTGTGAAACTGGCAAAAATTGCTAAATTCTGACCACTGTATTAGATAGTTGAAATCGGTAAATTGGTGATTTCTTGTACTCATTCGATAGAAAAAATGGAGTTCTAGCAAAATAGTTATGATTTTTGTCGACTAGTACATTGGAATTGGCCGAAAATGGGGCTCAAAGTGGGCAAAATCGCCGATGTGTAAACATCGTTAAGACCACTAACTGCGCAAGAGCATAATTCCGTGAGTTTTCCATCAAATTTCATACTTTTGGTGTCATTATGATCGGGAAAACATTCTCTATCTTTTCAAAAGAAATTTTTTTTTTTTTTTTACAATTTGGGGGACCCTGAGAACAAGTCACTGAGAGGGCCTGTGGACCCTGAAAGGGTTAAAAGCATGTGATAGGGACTTCTTGCAGTTCTTGACGAACACAGAGTTCCATGAGTCTGGGCCTGGGACAGAGTGAATGGGCATGTCATTTATCGCCTGTTCGAAGTCATTTGGCATCAGGATAACATCAGATAGGCTTGCGATAATCAAATTCTGTTGCGCTCTCAAAAAAACTTCATTTAGGTCTTCGATTCTCAGTCTGTTTAGTGGCTTGCTAAAAACTGAGTCATTCTGGGACTTGAGTAGCTCACCCATTTCCTTGCTGTCATCTGTGTAGAACCCATCTTGGTTAAGTAGGGGCCCAATACTGGATGTTGCTCTCCATTTTTATTTGGCATAAGAAAAGAAATACTTTGGGTTTCTTTCAATTTCATTTATGGCTTTTAGTTCTTCCCGCAATTCCTGACTCCACAGCAGTGGAGAGTGTAGGTGAAGGTGGGTAGATGCTGGTACGGTAGTGTGTGGAGAGCGTGGGTGTAGGTGGGAAGGTGCTGGTACCATAGAGGAGAGTGTAGTTGTAGGTGGGTAGGTGCTGGTACAATAGTGGAGAGAGTGGGTGTAGGTGGGTACGTGCTGGTACAGTAGTGGAGAGTGTAGGTTTAAGTGGGTAGGTGCTGGTACAATAGTTTGCAGAGTGTGGTGGTACAGTAAGAGTGGTAGTGTAATAAAGTACCTGGAGAGTGTGGTGGTACAGTAAGAGTGGTAGTGTAATAAAGTACCTGGAGAGTGTGGTGGTACAGTAAGAGTGGTAGTGTAATAAAGTACCTGGAGAGTGTGGTGGTACAGTAAGAGTGGTACATTTAATAAAGTACCTGGAGAGTGTGGTGGTTCAGTAAGAGTGGTAGTGTAATAAAGTACCTGGAGAGTGTGGTGGTACAGTAAGAGTGGTAGTGTAATAAAGTACCTGGAGAGTGTGGTGGTACAGTAAGAGTTGTAGTGAAATAAAATACCTGGAGAGTGTGGTGGTACAATAAGAATGGTAGTGTAATAAGGTACCTGGTGAGTGTGGTGGTACAGTAAGAATGGTAGTGTAATAAAGTACCTGGTGAGTGTGGTGGTACATTAAGTGTTAGTTAATAAAGTACTTGGAGAGTGTGGTTTATCTGGAGTTTATCTGGAGAGAGTTCCGGGGGTCAACGCCCCCGCGGCCCGGTCTGTGACCAGGCCTCCTTAGGTCAGTGTCCCAGGATGCGACCCACACCAGTCGACTAACACCCAGGTACCCATTTTACTGATGGGGAACATAGACAACAGGTGGAAAGAAACACGTCCAATGTTTCTACTCTGGCTGGGAATCGAACCCAGGCCCTCACCGTGTGAAGCGAGAGCGTTAACCACCAGTGGTAGTGTAATAAAGTACCTGGAGAGTGTGGTGGTACAGTAAGAGTGGTAGTGTAATAAAGTACCTGGAGAGTGTGGTGGTACAGTAAGAGTGGTAGTGTAATAAAGTACCTGGAGAGTGTGGTGGTACAGTAAGAGTGGTATGTAATAAAGTACTGGAGAGTGTGGTGGTACAGTAAGAGTGGTAGTGTAATAAAGTACCTGGAGAGTGTGGTGGTACAGTAAGAGTGGTAGTGTAATAAAGTACCTGGATAGTGTGGTGGTACAGTAAGAGTGGTAGTGTAATAAAGTACCTGGAGAGTGTGGTGGTACAGTAAGAGTGGTAGTGTGAAATAAAGTACCTGGAGAGTGTGGTGGTACAGTAAGAGTGGTAGTGTAATAAAGTACCTGGAGAGTGTGTGGTACAGTAAGAGTGGTAGTGTAATAAAGTACCTGGAGAGTGTGATGGTACAGTAAGAGTGGTAGTGTAATAAAGTACCTGGAGAGTGTGGTGGTACAGTAAGAGTGGTAGTGTAATAAAGTACCTGGAGAGTGTGGTGGTACAGTAAGAGTGGTAGTGTAATAAAGTACCTGGAGAGTGTGGTGGTACAGTAAGTGTGGTAGTGTAATAAAGTACCTGGAGAGTGTGGTGGTACAGTAAGAGTGGTAGTGTAATAAAAGTACCTGAGAGTGTGGTGGTACAGTAAGAGTGGTAGTGTAATAAAGTACCTGGATAGTGTGGGCGTGGGTGGTGGTGGTTGGTGCTGGGAGACATGGAGATACAGTTTGACCATCTTGTAAAGTTATCCTGGAGTAGCAGAGGTCATCTTGGTCTTGCTGGACACCAAACACCAGGCCAGCCTCCACCAGCCTCTTGATGCTCTCACTCATCCCACGAAGATGATCAACCTGTGGACAGTTACCACCATTATCACCTCTTCACAGTGTCACTACCATTATCACCTGTGTACAGTATCACTACCATTATCACCCATGTGCAGTCTCAGCATCATTATTACAAGTGTACAGTGTCACTATCATGTAGTGTCAGCACCAGTATGACAAGTGTACAGTGTCACTATCACCCATGTACAGTGCCAGCACCATTATCACAGGTGTACAGTGTTATGATAATGTTTGCTTCAGCATGATAGTGTTTGAACAAAGGAGAATGACAAAAGCCACTATATATGCAGAACATTTTGGCCAAACTTAAGATTAATAAGGCAATAACAATACAGTGTAAATTTAGGTATTTACAATTAATAAAATATAAGTGAATATTGTATTAGTTCAGACTACATGACTTTAACAAGTTTACTTGAGAGGAATTACAAGTTTCATTATAAACCTAAATTGTACACAATTGTTTAATGATTGTGAGAGTTACAGATACGGTGGACCCTCGATTTTTGTGATTAATCTGTTCCAGAGAGTCTACCAAAAGTCGAAATTCATGAGAGTCGAAACCATTTTTCTCATATGAAATTATGTAAATCCAATTAATCTGTTCCAGACACCCAAAAATAATTTTTTATGGATTAATATAGATTTACATACATAAAGGAATGAGAAATCAATATAAAGCAATAATAAAATATATAAAAGATCATTTAACATCACACTTACCTTTATTGAAGACTCTTTTTGGTGTATGGAAGATGGGAGGAGGGGAGAGGGTTAGGGTGATGTTCCTCCACAAATGTTTGCACTTCACCCCACTTTGCAAAATGTCTTTAATCTTTAACCCTTTGAGGGTTTTGGACGTACTAGTATGGCTTACACGAAGGGGTTTTTGACGTACTAGTACGTATAAATTCTAACTGTCAAATCTCGCGGGAAAAGGCTGGTAGGCCTAGATGTGAGAGAATGGGTCTGTGTGGTCAGTGTGCATGGCAGAAAAAAAATCTGGGACCCAGTGGTGCATTGTGGGAATGCCATCTTAGTACACAATGTCCACCATGCCTCGCGGTAAGAAGTTCCTCACTCCTCTGCGAATTGGGACACTTTTGTTCCCCAGTGACAGTTCAAATACAGATGGAAGTGCCAGTGAAGATGAGTTTCAAGGTTTTGGTGAGGTTTTGACCAAAACTAATGACCATAATATCAGTAATAGTGAGGAAAACCCAGACGACCCTCAGCCTTCTACCTCTGGTGATGGGCCGTCTTGTTTACGTTCAGTTGTACCAGAATCAAAGAGGAAACTTCTATTTTCCCAAATCCCAGACTCAGATGTGAGCATTTGTGATGATAGTGATAGTGATTATGAACTACAAGCTCTTGAAAATAGTTCCAGTAGTGATAGTGAAGTGGAATATTCCCCAGTGAAGGGGTCCAGTCCCTGGACCCATTATGTACCTTTGTAATCTTTTGACTACCGCCCACAGGATGGGTATGGGGTGCATAGTAAAGATATTAAACTAACCCCAGTGAAGCATCAGTATATATGGTAGTGTGCCACATGCTATTCCAAGGGGAAGGAGTACATCTCGGAGTACATCCCGTGGCTGTACAACAGGAACAGACAGTGAAAATGACGATGAAGTGTTGCAATCGGGATGGAAAATGTGCATGGTGGTGGTAGTGGTGGTGACGGCCGTGAGACACCAGCAGTGGGCCATGCTGCCACCCACGCCACTGCCTCAGCTGATCTACAACAAAGGCCACCATCCCCCAACCACCCACCACACCAGCCTCCACAACCACAACCTCCACAACAACCACCACCTGTCATTGTCCAGTACCCACCAACAGACTGCACCTGGGATTGGCAGGAAGCTGTCAATTTTGTTCCAAATGCCCACCAGTTTGATGACAGCCAAAGTGGAATACAGCCATCTTGTACACTTGGGACCAATGCCACTGAACTGGAATGTTTCAAGTTATTCTTTGGCGAACCCCTGATGGAAAGTATTGTTATGGAAAGCAACACATACTACGAGTACACCTTGGCAAACACAATACTTTCACCAAAATCACATCTACACCAGTGGAAGGAGGCAACTGTGGCTGAGATGTATCTTTTCTTTGCCACAATAATGCTTATGCCACATGTGTATAAGCACAAAGTGAAATCATACTGGTCAACAGACCGCCTGATTGCAACCCCAGGTTTCAGTGATATAATGCCAGTGAATAGATTTGTGCTAATGTTACGTATGCTTCACTTCTCAGACAAAACCAGGCCTGACAGAAACAACAGGTTATATAAGATTAGGCATGTGTTTGTGTATCTGAAACAGAAATTCAATATGTATTTTTATCCCTTCAGGAAGCTTGTAATTGACAAGTCTTTGATTCTGTTCAAAGGAAGACTCTCTTTCAAGCAGTACATACCAAGCAAGAGGAAACGCTTTGGTATAAAGTTGTTTGTGCTTTGTGATTGTTACAGTGGTCTGGTATTGGATATTATTGTGTACACTGGAAGTTATACATTGCAAAATACCAGGAAGTTATTGGGCATCTCTGGTGATGTGGTTAGAACAACGATAGAACCATACCTTGGTAAGGGGCATATACAGTGGACCCCCGCATAACGATTTTAATCCGTGCAAGAGGGGTAATTGTTATGCGAAATAATCGTTATGTGAATGAATTTTCCCCATAAGAAATAATGGAAATAAAATTAATCCGTGCAAGACACCCAAAAGTATGAAAAAAAAAATTTTTTTACCACATGAAATGTTAATTTTAATACACACAAACTGAAAAAGGCATGCACACTTACATGACACTTACTTTTATTGAAGATCTGGTGATGATTGATGGGATGGGAGGAGGGGAGAGAGAGTGTTAGTGTTTAGAAGGGGAATCCCCTTCCATTAAGACTTGAGGTGTCAAGTCCTTTTCTGGGGTTACTTCCCTTCTTCTTTTAATGCCACTAGGACCAGCTTCAGAGTCACTGTACTTCTTTCGCACAACATATCTGTCCATAGTGGCCTGTACCTCTCGTTCCTTTATGACTTCCCTAAAGTGTTTCACAACATTGTCAGTGTACAGGTTGCCAACACGGCTTGCAATAGCTGTGTGAGGGTGATTTTCATCCATGAAGGTTTGCACTTCAAGCCACTTTGCACAGATTTCTTTAATCTTTGTAGTAGGCAACTTCTTCAATTTCTCTCTCCCCTCCTCTGAACCAGTTTCCTCAGGTCTGGCCTCTTGCTCTTGAAGTTGATCTATCAGCTCATCAGTGGTTTGTTCTTCATTGTCCTCCTCCACCAAATCTTCCACATCCTCCCCACTAACCTCCAACCCCAAGGACTTTCCCAATGCCACAATGGATTCCTCAAGTGGCATAATCCTCTCAGGGTTTAGCCTCAAACCCTTCAAAATCCCTTTTGTCTACACATTCTGGCCACAGTTTCTTCCAAGCAGAGTTCAAGGTCTTCTTAGTCACTCCCTCCCAAGCCTTACCTATAAGGTTTACACAATTGAGGATATTAAAGTGCTCTCTCCAAAACTCTCTTAGAGTTAGTTGAGTTTCTGAGGTCACTACAAAGCACCTTTCAAACAGAGCTTTTGTGTACAGTCAGTTTTTTGAAGTTTGCAATAACCTGCTGGTCCATGGGCTGCAGGAGAGGAGTGGTATTAGGAGGCAAAAACTTCACCTTAATGAAGCTCATGTCCCCATAAAGTCGCTCTGCCACGTCTGTAGGATGACCAGGGGCATTGTCTAACACCAGGAGGCACTTAAGTTCTAATTTCTTTTCAGTTAGGTAATCTTTCACATTGGGGGCAAATGCATGGTGTAACCAGTTATAGAAAAAGTCCCTAGTGACCCATGCCTTACTGTTTGCCCTCCACAGCACACACAAATTATCCTTGAGGACATTCTTTTGCCTGAACGCTCTGGGAGTTTCAGAGTGATACACTAATAAAGGCTTAACTTTGCAATCACCACTAGCATTGGCACACATCAACAAAGTAAGCCTGTCTTTCATAGGCTTATGTCCTGGGAGTGCCTTTTCCTCCTGAGTAATGTAGGTCCTGCTTGGCATTTTCTTTCCAGAACAGGCCTGTTTCATCACAATTAAACACTTGTTCAGGTTTCAGTCCTTCACTGTCTATGTACTCCTTGAATTCCTGCACATATTTTTCAGCCGCTTTGTGGTCCGAACTGGCAGCCTCACCATGCCTTATCACACTATGGATGCCACTACGCTTCTTAAATCTCTCAAACCAACCTTTGCTGGCCTTAAATTCACTCACATCATCACTAGTTGCAGGCATTTTTTTAATTAAATCCTCATGCAACTTCCTAGCCTTTTCACATATGATCGCTTGAGAGACGCTATCTCCTGCTAGCTGTTTTTCATTTATCCACACCAATAAGAGTCTCTCAACATCTTCCATCACTTGCGATCTTTTGTTTCGAAAACACAGTTAAACCTTTGGCAAGAACAGCTTCCTTGATTGTCTTTCTGGTGCCCACAATAGTAGCGATGGTTGATTGGGGTTTCTTGTACAACTTGACTAGGTCGGCGATACGCACTCCACTTTCATACTTATCAATGATCTCTTTCTTCATTTCTATTGGAATTCTCACCCTTATTGGTGTACGGTTGGCACTAGAAGCTTTCTTGGGGCCCATGGTCACTTATTTTCCAGAAACAGCACCGAAAACACTGTAATAATACGAAATATTCCGATTATATGCTTGGATGTTACCGCGGAGGCTGGCTGGTAAACAATGGCACGGGCGGCACATGTGAGGCTGGCTGAGGGCGCACATTGGACGCGTCTCGGACGAAAATCGGTGAGCGGGTTTTTAATCGGTATGCGCGGCAAAATTTTTGCGATTAAAGCAAGCGGTATGCGGATTAATCGCTATGTGATGCCATCGTTATGCGGGAGTCCACTGTATTATATACTGATAACTGGTACACAAGCCCCTCACTCAGTGATTTTTT